TTTGGACTCTCGTTCTGACGGCACCCATTCACTGCAGAGCATCCATTGCTGAGACACTGATGTAACGCTACATTTCTCCAAAATACAAACTTGGTTGGCAGATTTTTATTTTGGGTTGAACTATTCCTTTAAGTCCTGACACTTTCCTCTCTTATTTCTGTGACAACTCTGACAATATGTCTTGTGTTGGATATTTTCAGTAACATTTCTGTCAAGTTTCAAACACCTTTTCTTACATTCTATTTTGGATTATGTCACAATTTATGCGTCCACATATGAAAAACGCAATTGAAAATACAATTTGCTATTCTATTTGAAAATTGTCCGGAATATCGTTCCATATATATATCTTCACATCTCACAGATCTATAGACAGAAAGAGAAACATGAGGATGCTCTTGCTCCAGATTACTGTATCTCAGGTATGTTTGCATACACTCATTTTCATAAATCAGAATGAATTCAATCCAATTTCAGATTCTGAAAGGTCTGTTTATTTGAACCCTAATTTCCTTTTTTTTTTTTAACTAATGATGTTTTCTGCCCTTTCTTAAACCAAACGCTCACACAAAGCTTTATATATGTTGTACAATCTTTTTACACAAGTCTTTGCTGAAGGCATTATTCAGTATGTTTATTAAGCTCTGCTCCTGTTTGGCTGGTGATTTCAGGTTTTACTGTGCTGCTGGGGGACAGTAAAAACCTCTTTATAAACCACAAAACCTACAAACCTAGATCTTTTTCCTCATGGTCCAGGTGTAGGACAAAGGGAGAGTCTATTTCATGACCCTAAAATCACAGATATTTCACAACCCAACAAAAAATATTATTTTTAAGATCACAGAACAACTCAAAGAAATGTTTGTGCATGTTTGTGTTTTATTGCCAAAAGCCAGAATTTTGCGTTTTATGTTGTGGTGTGTCAAGAAGTCAAAATTGACAAAAAGCATGCATGATGTAACGCATTTTCTCCACTATTTATTTTGATTTTTTTGACCCTCAGTCCTCAGATTCATTAAATCAGTGCAGTGCTCTTAATTCACCACTAGATGGAAGAAACTTTATATTTTCACTTCAGCTTTTCCTTCACACACGTGCAGTTCATAACAAAGCCAGCAGACAGCGCAAGGACACTGTTGGCACGTTATATTTCTGGCTCTCCATGTAGAACAGGTTATTGAAAAGGAGTTAAGGTGACACAGAATAACCTGTGAATAATGTATTCCTGCAACATGCAGCTGAATCAATCATTTGTTTTTAAATCAGAAATAAGTTGTTCTGAGTGATGTTAAACAGTGTGTGTGTGTGTGTGTGTGTGTGTGTAAGCAGTACGTCCATACAGTGCACTGTATATCTGTTTACAGTCAATTGAAAAAGCCAGTATAATCAATGCTGTGTGGGGTTAAAGGTGTGTGTAAGTATCATGAGCTTGTCGCTCTTCCATTGATTGATATGTTCTGTAAAATAGTGCGTGAGTTAGTAAAGCTTCTTTTAATTGTCACAAATTATTCATGTGTCCAAGGAAGTCAATTAGTCAGTGACTGTATAGATCACCTCACGGCACACGCCGCAGTTGTTGTCGATGTTTTGTCTCATTATGACTCAATATTGTTGGATAATCCACTTCCTCCTGTGCCATCTCATCATGTCAGTCGATATACACTTGTACCGATATACAGTCTCTGAGCATCAGCACCGCGAGGCGTGATAGCGGTTAGCTCAGTTTCAGGATGTTTTAGTTTGTTTGGAGAGCCTCGGGTAGAGCAAGCGCAGCTAGAAAGAAGTGACAGCCATTGTGTGTGGCCTACATGGTTTGTGAAGACGGACACACACACAAGCACTCATTCACTATGAGGAGAAACTCAGTCCTCAGGCTCAACACACTTCGACATGTTTCCTCACTTTTTGACGCTTGCTCTTTATTCACATTTTTCATAGTGTGACATCAAAAAGCTCATTCATTATAGACAGAGTGGGCTCACACACCATCAGCACAAGCAGTTTAAAGTTAGACAGGATCTTCGCTTGAGAATCTGCACTCAAACCACAAGATTAGTGATTAACTTGGAAACACATGCCGAGCTGGAGAGTTTGGGTGCAGGTTAGAATTAGTGCAAATTTATGGAAAGCCACTTCCACCACATATAAAAAAAAAAATTAATAAAAAATGGGTAACACTTTACAATAAGGTTCCATTAGTTAATGTTAGCTAATTAATTAACTAACATGAACAAACCATGAACAGTACATTTATCACAGTATTTATTAATCTGTTTGTTTGACTATTAATCTAAGGTTGATTTTCATGTTGATTTTAATAATGCATTAATAAATGTTGAAATTAACATTAACTAAGATTAATAAATGCTGTAGAAGTATTGCTCATTCTTAGTCCATGTTAACTAAAGTAGTTAACTAATGTTAACTAATGAACCTTTGGTAAGATGGTATGAGATACTTAGTCACAATTATGAGATAAAAAGACAAAATTATGAGATAAAAGCATGACATGGAAAGGTTTTTTTTTTTTTTTGTCATGACTGGCAAATTCTGAATTACTTTTTTATCTCATGATTATGACTTTTTATGTCATAATTTCAACTTATTTCATAATTATGACTTGTCAATTTTGACTAAGTCATGACTTTCTCATAATTGTTTTTTTTTAGTAAATTTGGACTTTTTCTCATTATGATTCACTCATTATGATCTCATAATTTTGACTTTGTATTTCATAATTATGACTGCCATAAGGTTGGCTTTTTATCTTATAATCTCAACTTATTTCATAATTATGACTTATCATAATCATGACTAAATCATGACTTTATCTCATAATTGTAATTTTTGTAACCTTTGACCTTTTCTCATATTTATGCCTTAGTATGTCATACTTTTGAGTTTTTTTGTCAATTTTGACTTTCATTGTCATTTCTGTCGGGACCACTATTGTTTAATTTGCTCTTGAGCAACGTGAAAGCTGCTGATAATACTGAAGGACCTTATATAAGGATGCTGTGATAGAACTAGAACCAGAACTAACGCTGCACTTGATAATTATGACTTTATCTCATAATTTTAATTTTTTTATGTAATTTCGAAGTTTTATCTCATAATTGTGACATTGTATATCAAAATTGACTTGTATCTCATAATTATGACTTAGTATCTCATAATGTCAACGTTTTATCTCATAATTATGATTTGTCAATGCATTTTATGTGGTGGAAATGGGCTTCCATACCAACGTAACTCAGTGTTTCAGCAGTGAATGACTGAATGAATAATGAATGGCTTTAAGTTTCTGAAATGTACGTGTGAATCATCATCCATCTGATTCTGTTGAGAACCGACATTATCAGACCTTCCATATTAAAACTCAATCATAAATAATGTCACTGCATGTCCAAGTATTTCACTTTTTATGAGTTTGTACAGAGCCTGTATATGAATGTAGTGGTTTAATATGGTTGAAAAATGTATCATATCATGAAAGCACAGTCATATACACCATGAGTTGATGGGTCATGATCCCTTCTTCTTTTTTTTGGTTCTTAATTTATTCAAAGATGATTTAAAACAAAATTCATACATAAAACTATTCAATAATGAACATGCTTTAATTTCCTAATTAAAATTAACTTTGAAATATTTGTTTTGGAGGACATAAAATAAAAAAGACAGTTGTCCCAATATCATGAAAAGTCTCCTTAATCAAATAAACTCATTTTTCATGTAGTGCAACCAAAATGCAAAAACATGCAGAAGAAAGAAAGAGAAAATCATAGAAAGGTCCCTTATGACTCGATGTCAAGGTCAGCAGGTCTCTTAAAATATTAGATAATTTTATTTTTTTTATGACAAGGCAAGGTTAGTTGGTTTGGCTGTACAGTACAATGTCTTATTATCTTAATATTTATGAATTAATAATTCATAACATCTGTAAAAAAAAAGAAAGAAAGACAATATATTTAAAAAATCACAGAAAAGTATAATTAAAACTATTTTGAACATAAACATCAAATTTTGCTGTATGTTATTGGTATGCTTTGGGAAAGAGATTGCATTGTGATGCAAGTCTTGCGTTGCAGCCTGTGAATATTTCATCAGCGTCTCCTCTAAAAATAAACGAGGGTGAATAGAATAAAATAAAATAATAATAAATGTTGATGTAACTGGGCAGGACTCCACTCCCTCCTCATGAAGACCTGCATTTCTCTTATTCTGACATATGTTCTGACTCTGTGTCAGCTTTATCTGTCCCTCCCTCTCCATTCCTCCCACATTCCCCCTCACTACATCCTTAGTTTTTTTGACTCACATGTCTTGGGCAGGCTGCTTTTGATGCGGAAAAAGTCTCCCTGGAGGCAGTTGCTAAGCAACTGGCTACTGTTGGATTATGGGTTAAGTCAGAAGCAAGAAAACGCAAGCATGGGAGATGGTGTGCATGTGTGTGAATGTGTATAAGGCTGAGTCAGGCCAGCAGAAGCAGTCTCTACGATCACATACCCCAACATGCTCTGTAACTGAAGCTAATTTAGGGAAAGAAGCCCGCAAAAAAATCTCCCTCCTTTTCCCTTTGCTCTCCTGACAACGTCTCTATAATGTGACCGTTTAAAGCGGGTTGTGTCCTCACTTTTGCTGTTTAAAGTTTGATTATTTTTTATAAAAATTAAAACAAATATATTACAATTGTTTTATATTAACTTTCATAATGGCAACTTATTATTTTATATAATTTTATTTAATTGCAATAAATTATTCATCTTTTTTTGTAGTTATATATTGCATATTATATATATTATTTTTTTTATTGAAATGTATTTCAGTCTGGCGCTCTGAAATCACATTCAAACATTGTTAATTTCTATGTTCTGTGCGCATGAGTGAGTTTGTAGCCACTGATGAATGAACTCAGTCTGTTACTGCCTTTCTGTCTGGGAGCTTCCATGTGGACCGAGAGAGGAGGAGGAGGAGGATGAGAGAGGGAGGAAGCAGAGGATGCAGACAGCAACACAGAGGAGACACAGAGTGTGGGAGGAGGGAAAGTAATTGATGGAGAGAGAGAGAGAGAGAGAGAGATGGAGTGAGCAGCTCTGAGCAACACTGAGAGCTCGTGAGGGAAGATGCTAGACAAAATTTGAAGAAAGCCCTTAGTGCAATTAAAAATGAGACTGACAAGAAAAACCGAGCACAGATTCGAAATGGAAACGGGAGACGTTGAAGGCAAATTCAGGATGTCAGGGGATTTTTAAAGTCTTCAAGTCTTCCGGACGTTAATCGTAGATGCTGTGATTCCCTTGGACGTTTTGTCAGATGGGATTTCAATATTTAAAACCAGAGCTCCCAACATAATTCCTGATCTCTTCTGGAACTATCTGCATGGTTTCTTGGCCTCTGACCTTTAAAGATCTCCTTCTGTTTTTCCTGTTACTTGATCTTCAAGCCTTCATTTCCAGTTGAAAAAGGACCAGTCTTCCATTCTTGGTTAGTACAGAGGACATCTTCATAACTCCTTGATACAGACTCTGAAAGAGGGGCATTTTGACTTGGAACAGAACTAGGATTGTATTATTTTGGATGTGCACAATCAAGACAAGCTTGTGCAACACCATGCAGGGCGAGGACAGCGGGACCCTCAAACTCACTTGGTTCTGTTGCAGTGAAAGATTAATGAACCTAAGCATGCTTCTTGTTCTCTCTCTCTTCACAGCAAAAACAACGCCACCGTCAAGCAGCTTCGTCACTCAGCACAGCTAACAAGCCTGTACTCACTGGATTCTCGAGGTTCCAGAAACAATCTGAGCTTGGGATAAACGAGCCGTCTGAACGGTGAGGGATTGTTGGGTAAGAGTGACAGAACTTGACCAGGCCGACGAAAGGGTGCAGGGGACCGGGACCGGGAGCCGGGCTGCGTGGGGCTTCCAGCGGTTCTTTCAGGTCCTGCAGGGATGGATGCAACGCCAGAATAAAAAACAGGACGGGAAGTTTCTGCTGTCCCACTGGTACAATGTGTGGTGAGTAATGAGATTCATCTCCACATGTTCTTAAAGGGATAGTTCACACAATAATTACAATCATTTACTCATCCTCAAGCTTTCTTTCTTCTGTGGAACACAAAAGAAATATTTTGGAAAAATGTCTCAGAGTTTTCTGTCTATACATTGGAAGTCAATGGGGTCCAGTTTGTTTTCTCTGAATAGGTAAAAAAAGTAAAAATATTTGTGTACAGAAAGGTACAGAATTGGGTGAACTATCCCTTTAATGAATATTATGACTTTCTTCCTCTGATAACTAAAGCACTGTGGGGTCAAAGTTTGTAGGGTCAGGGGTTGTGCAGTGGTCACTCAGCTTCAGCGATTGATTTAGTGTTGCTAGAAATACAAATTATCATTTTGATCGTTATATCCATTTCCACAGAATGGGAATCTTATGATTGGACCTAGTGTTATCTGCACTCAAAGTATTATAAATATTTATGCCTAAATTTAAGTTTTATGTTTATGAATTGCGTATAGAATTTTCATCCATTTGGGTCACACGGTTTTAACATAAACTAATAAACTTAATGTGATGCATATGTGTCAGTCATACATAACTGAATATGTAAGAAGCAAGATTTCTACACTAAAAAAAAAAAAAAATCATACAATAATTTATAACTATTTGCATCTATTTTATCTTACAGAAATAATCATATTTTCCAAATGCATTTATTGAAATCGCTTAGAATTAGCATAAATCTGTTCATTGTGAGACAATTACATTTATTCAGTTAAAAAGTATAAATATGGTTAAAATAGGATTAGCTGTGGAACACACAATATTCAGTTAGTTAACATGCATGAGATTGAAACAAACTGGATTTATGGATGATAAATATATAAACCTGGTTAATGTGTATTTGAAACGCGTTCATTTTATTAATACTATTACAGAAATCTGACATGTTTCATTCATGTATGGCTGACAAATATGCATTAAGTTGATTTAATGGATGGGGATTTTATATGCAATTCAAATACATAAATCTTACATATTTTTTTGAGTGTATAGGCTTAAAAATACATATGATGCATAGCATCACTTGCTATTCTACTTATGAATGTGCTTGTATTGACGGATATTATGTTGTTTTGATTGACGCCTCATGATTGTGGATCCAGGATAGAAGAAAAGTAGCACACTGGTTATTGATTTTTAGCATTTTATCCAAAACTGTGATGTGGATTGTGAAGGATGTTAAATGATCCATTATAACTATTAAATGTCCTGTTCTACCAGACCTGCTGTAGTATGATCCAAATAATATTGTGGCCTAAGACTGTTTCTAACTCTGATTTTACTGAGCAATGAGCAGAACACCCATCAAAAGATTTATGATATCTTTATGTGAGTTCCTCTAGGGGTTTGATTCTTGAACAGACTGCGCTCTGTCAGCCCTAATGGCCTCGAGTGATCGTGTTAAGTTATTGACGCCTGTAAACAGCCCTCTGGGTATTAGAAAAGCAGCCTTCTTTACACATGTCCCTTCATGCAAACATGAGGATGATCAGATATCGGTCTCAGAAAACTACATTGTCAACCCAAGCTCACTAGAGAAACCGGCAACATTTCTGCAAAATATTACGTTGCTTTTTGGATGATTTGCTACACTTTCTTTGAAATGTCTATGTGAATCTGGCAACGTTTTATTAAGCTGTTTATTGTACAATACGTATTGCAGCAATTTGGGAATGAAATGTCCTGTGAGTGGTGCTAAAAGGTTAATACTCTATTGCATTTACAAATAACACATTTGAAAAACACTAAATCTGACCGATTGCATCACCAGTCAGAGCTAAAAAGAGTTTTTCAACCGCTCTGCGATGGAGGAGTTTACATTTATGTGTTTGAGTATTCATAGGTTCTATTGCTATACAAACTAGAGTACTTATAAACGGTTACAGCAATGAATATTGCATTTCCATATTCTATTATATGAATAGGTAAAACAAAGTAAAAGTTGCAAGAAGCTCAGGAGGGTTTACTATGTGACTGCACATGTTACAGAAATTGCATGAGATGAGACTGAGACTGCTACAATTCAATTATTATTAAGACCTTGGATTATGAACTCATATGCACATAGTTAACCAAATCAAAATGACGGAACGGGTGAAATTGTGGAGTTCCCAGTCTGTCTAGGTACCTGCTGTCCACGTTGCAAGTCCCATATGGGCAGCTTCTCACCATTTTTCAAGTTCAAGTCCACCAGCGTTAATCTATTAACTCTACTGTCTGGTTTGTTTTTCAGACATGATAGCAAGGGGGGCACATAATACTGCCGTTATGATTGGTCAGACCGCCTGTCAATAAAACTGCTGGCGAAGGGTGAATTTGGCCTGTAAGACCGTGACATCCATCTACTGTAGTGATGATTACAAAGTTTGCAAACATTTGTGTACAGACCGTGTAAACAACGGTAGTCAAGTCACAAAGTAGACATGATGACTCGTGTATAAAAAGAGAAGCAATTGTATCCAGTCAGTTTTAAAGATGTGTTTATTGTTACTTTTCTGGATCATGACATTGTAGCAAAATACTACAACACATTTCACTATGACAAGTTTCTTTTGGTTTAAAGATCAAATGTTTACATCTTGTTACATTTTACATCATAGTGATATTAGAGGGATGTTGCTTTGATGTGCCTATCTATAACTTGAAGGTTGTGTAAATAGTCATGCATTTTCTTTTTTGGGTCCCGATCTTGGAACTGATGCTCCCGCACTACTGGCTCTGTTAGTGTCATCTGCTGGTGAGACTGAGGGTGGTGGGCGTTGTTTAACGTGGTCATATCTAATACAAAAACACAAGAAGCTTTAAATTGACAATGCCATTCCACTGTTAAACCGTATATTAGGATTGATTATCACTGATCTCTACAGGCAAATGCTTGAAAAAAATATTTCTGGTGGCTGCTGTGATTGAAACATGCCTCTATTAGCAATACAAACTTTAAAATAAATAAATAAATGAAAAGTTTGCATTGGTAATAGACTCATGTTTCAGTCATAGCAACCACCAGAACAATGGAATGTGCTTTGCTTGTAATTGTAAAACTCACCTGCACCTGTCTCCATAGGTACACTGTCCTTTCTTGTAGAATGTACAGATCATGTTAGACTTGCTGTTTTGCAGATCATGAGAGAACTCACAGTCATTCCCCTTATTGCAAGCGCCATTCATGAAATATCTACAGAAAGACAGAAAAGTCCATAAAACCACATGATCTGGACATGACATTCTTATGATCAGAGCACACTTCATGGACAACCCACGGAAAAGACTGAAAAATCATTTGAATTAAAACAAAGCAGTGAATACATATGAATCCTGTCCAAATAGCTCTTTATATGAAGAAGAATAACGTGTTGAGATCTTCTACTGTCTCTGCATTTTCTTCCATGTCAAAATGATGTAACAATTTTCCATATTTAACATAGCGATACTTTAAAAAATGTCTACAGGAGAAAGTTTGGTGGTGAACTTACTTGCAGGTTATTTCTTTCTTCGACATGTTTTTGATATGATAATATCCTTGACACAATCACAGCAACTCTGCTTTAATAGCTAAACTGTTGCGTTTCAGATATGCAAGTTCTACACACAGAACTGGTCATGCCGGTTAGAAGTGCTACCTAATTTGCTGGGATAGTGGCGTGTGCCTAAATATGTGTCTTACGATATCTCTCATTGTTTCACTCCACTGCCTGCCTCAACACGTTCCCGCGGTACCTCGATGCTGGAATGATCTTCCAAACTCCATATGAGAGGACTAAATGAAACATTCAGTCCATTGAGACATGTTGAAGTAGAACCCATGTGCAGTTTATTGAGCAGAATGTGAATAAATACCAAATTAACAAATACTTGATTCCTAGCAAACTCACACAGACCATTTCTCGATAACAAATATTACTATTAAATACCACAATTATTATTTACTGAATGGTAATATTTAATTAACAACTATAGTATTGTAAAAGTTGCTAAGCAATTCGGTCAGAGTACAAAGGCAGCGCTCTGATACAGTATAAAAATTATATAAAAATATAAAGTTATGAGACTTTGCCCATAGCCAAAGCTATTTGCTCTGGAACAAATAATAGACTAATGAGACCAAAGACTGCCTGTTAGATTTACCCAAAATGAATTAAATCTCATATTTAACCACTACATCAGAGCCAGCAGCAAATTCCAGAAGATCTGGCCGAGGTGAGGCTGCTCTCGGCAAGTTCATGAGCGCTGAATACGATCTGCGGTGATGTCACAATTATGGTATACGGAGCTGCCTGAAGTGTACATATGAAGTAGACTTGCTCACAAGGATCTGTCCACATAACTTATCTCGTCCACTTTAGAAGTGGAATGCACTTCAAAACGGCAGCAGAGATTCCCCCGAGGGGAAATGCTTAGGGAAGTTCTCGAGTATGACTCTAAAAGTGGAACACAGCCAAGGAGTTGTTGAAAGTAAAAATAATGTCCTTGTTTCAGCCCTTTTCAATATAAAAGTTGGTAACACTTTATAATACTGGTCTGTCATTAATGAATAACTACACCGAAACAAATGAGTAATGCAATATTACCACTCTAGTAACTACTATTGTCTAACAAGAAACTCTGATTAATGAATTAGTAAGTAACAATAATAATAATAATACATTTTATTTATATAGTGCCTTTCAAAACCCAAGGACACTTTACATGAAGTTGATAGATAACATGAACACAAATACAAATACACAGTTACATGATCAAACAAATAAGCAGACAGAGATCTTATATTGTATAAGATAAGTAACAAAAGCAAGCATGGAACTGAAAAATGAGGCAGACAATCAATTCACAAGACATATTGTAAATAAATGAAAGAATCTCTGTTTTTTCAGTATTTCATTTTAGGAAATTTTGAGCCATCCATACTTTAAAATCATGTAGGCAAGATGTTAAAGAAGAAGGAGGAAAAACAGAATTAGGTTGTGCAGTAAAATAGATTTGCATATCATCAGCATAAATGTGGAAATTAAGACCATGGCGCCGGATGATCTGACCCAGAGGAAGCATGTAGATTAAAAACAGAAGTGGACCAATAATAGATCCTTGAGGCACTCCACGGGAAAAAGGACAGAGCGAGATTTGTGTTAATCAATGCTAATAAACTGTTGCCTGTCTGAGAGATATGAACTTAACCACTGCATGACAGTTCCTGTAATGCTGATCGCAGACAAACTAGATAGAAGTACAGAATGGCAAACAGTATCAAAAGCTGCACTCAGGTCCAAGAGGACTAGAAGGCTAAGGACACCAGAATCAAGGAGGAGGTCATTCACTACTCTTAGAAGAGCAGTCTCTGTACTGTGTAGAGGATGAAATCCAGACTTAAATGGTTCATGCAAAAAAAAATTGTCTAAATGAGTCAAATGAGTTGTGTGGCGACCACCTTTTCTAAAACCTTAGGCAAAAAAGGAAGGTTGAAGATTGGTCTAAAATTACCCAGGACTGTTTCGTCAAGGCCAGATTTTTTAAGTACCGGGGTGATCAAGGCTACTTTTAGTCCAGTAGGTACATAAGCAGTCATAAGGGATCTGTTTACCATGTGAGTGATATAATGAGCCAAGGTAGAACGTTTTTGAGCAGGTGTGTTGGTATTGGATCTAGCGGACAGGAAGAGGAGTTAGAGTTCATAATCAGCTGCTCAACCACAGATGTATTGGTGAGTGTAAAGTTAGAAAGTGGGTAGGGTATCTGAGATGTCAGAAAATATTCACACGAGGTCAGAAGAACCATTAGGAAAGGGAGATGGCAGTGCTTGTGGATGAATATCTTAAACTGAATACGATAGATAACGGGAAGCCAGTATAATTGCTGTAAGACAGGAGTGATGTGGGCTTTGTTGGGTAGGCCATATAAGAAGGAGTTACAATTGTCCATGCGTGGAGTTATAAAAGCATGAATAAAAGTTTCAGCATCTTTGTAATGTAGTGAGGGTCATACACGGGCAATATTGTGAAGATGGAAAAAAAAAAAACAGGACTTGACAAGCTGGCTGATATAGGGTTCAAAGTTTCAGTGTGGAATCAAATAGTACACCAAGATTATGTATAGCAGGGGAGGGATGAACTATAGCTCCGTCGATGTTAATAGAGGAGTCAAGATGAGAGGAGACAAAGGATTTTGGGCCAACTAACAGAATCTCTGTTTTTTCAGTATTTCATTTTAGGAAATTTTGAGCCATCCATACTTTAAAATCATGTAGGCAAGATGTTAAAGAAGAAGGAGGAAAAACAGAATTAGGTTGTGCAGTAAAATAGATTTGCATATCATCAGCATAAATGTGGAAATTAAGACCATGGCGCCGGATGATCTGACCCAGAGGAAGCATTTAGATTAAAAACAGAAGTGGACCAATAATAGATCCTTGAGGCACTCCACGGGAAAAAGGAAAGCATAGAACAGAAAATTAAGGCAAGCAATTAATTAAGAAACATTGTGAATAGGTGAGTTTTGAGAGCAGTTTTAAAGGTCTGGAGTGAAGAGATAACACGGAGATCTTGTGGTAGTTTATTCCAGAGCTTGGCAGCGGAAATGCAGAAAGCCCTACCACCCACACTAGATAGCCGGAATTTGGGTACTGCAAGCTAATTTTCAGAGCTCGATCTCAAAGTACGGGCAGGGACATAGGGGTGAATTAATTCAGAAAGGTAAGAAGGTGCAGAACCATGACAAGCCTTGAAAACTAGGACCAAGTATCTTAAACTGAATACGATAGATAACGGGGAGCCAATGTAGATGCTGTGAGACAAGAGTGATGTGGGATCAGATATTTTGGTAAATGTCGGGGCAAGAGCAGCTGAATTTAGAATTAGCTGCAAGCGATTAAGAGCTTTGTTGGGTAGGCCATATAACACGGAGTTACAATAGTCCAGACGCAAAGTTATGAAAGCATGAGTAAAAGATTCAGCATCTTTGAAATTGTCATATATGGACAATATTGCGAAGATGGAAAAAACAGGACTTGACAAGCTGGTTGATATGGGGTTCAAAGCATAGTGTGGAATCAAATAGTACACCAAGATTATGTATAGCAGGGGAGGGATGAACTATAGCTCCGTCGATGTTAATAGAGGAGTCAAGATGAGAGGAGACAAAGGATTTTGGGCCAACTAACAGAATCTCTGTTTTTTCAGTATTTCATTTTAGGAAATTTTGAGCCATCCATACTTTAAAATCATGTAGGCAAGATGTTAAAGAAGAAGGAGGAAAAACAGAATTAGGTTGTGCAGTAAAATAGATTTGCATATCATCAGCATAAATGTGGAAATTAAGACCATGGCGCCGGATGATCTGACCCAGAGGAAGCATGTAGATTAAAAACAGAAGTGGACCAATAATAGATCCTTGAGGCACTCCACGGGAAAAAGGACAGAGCGAGATTTGTGTTAATCAATGCTAATAAACTGTTGCCTGTCTGAGAGATATGAACTTAACCACTGCATGACAGTTCCTGTAATGCTGATCGCAGGCAAACTAGATAGAAGTACAGAATGGCAAACAGTATCAAAAGCTGCACTCAGGTCCAAGAGGACTAGAAGGCTAAGGACACCAGAATCAAGGAGGAGGTCATTCACTACTCTTAGAAGAGCAGTCTCTGTACTGTGTAGAGGATGAAATCCAGACTTAAATGGTTCATGCAAAAAAAAATTGTCTAAATGAGTCAAATGAGTTGTGTGGCGACCACCTTTTCTAAAACCTTAGGCAAAAAAGGAAGGTTGAAGATTGGTCTAAAATTACCCAGGACTGTTTCGTCAAGGCCAGATTTTTTAAGTACCGGGGTGATCAAGGCTACTTTTAGTCCAGTAGGTACATAAGCAGTCATAAGGGATCTGTTTACCATGTGAGTGATATAATGAGCCAAGGTAGAACGTTTTTGAGCAGGTGTGTTGGTATTGGATCTAGCGGACAGGAAGAGGAGTTAGAGTTCATAATCAGCTGCTCAACCACAGATGTATTGGTGAGTGTAAAGTTAGAAAGTGGGTAGGGTATCTGAGATGTCAGAAAATATTCACACGAGGTCAGAAGAACCATTAGGAAAGGGAGATGGCGGTTTGATAAGTTTGTTGATCTCAGAAAATAGGGTCCTGGGTTTACACTTTGCTTTGTTAAGAATAGTGGATAGGTAAGTAGAGCAGGCAGTGTTAAGTGCTTTTTATATTGTAACATGAACTCTGAGTAAAAGGTAGCATGAACAAGAAGACAAGTCTTCTTATACAGTCGCTCAAGACGCCTACCCTTAGCTTTCACTAATCTGAGCTCCGGGGTGAACCAAGGGGAAGAATGAGCTAAGGGGACAGTTCTGTTCTTTAATGGGGCCAGAGCCTCCAAGACATTATATGTAGCTTCATTATATGATTAGAGAATCTCAGCAGGACCAGACAGATTATCAGAGATAGACAAAGAGCAGGCAGCAATAGCAGTACAGAGATTTTCAGTACTTATGTTTGTACTTATGTTATCTTTCATGTTTCGGTAGGATATTGTAGATTTAATTTTAGGTTTTACAAAAGGAAAACTGAAGTAAA